TCCTGGAGAGAGTCCAGCAGAGGGCTACAAAGATGATGAGGGGACTGGAGCATCTCTCCTCTGAAGAAAGGCTGCGAGAGCTGGGGCTGTTTAGCCTGCAGAAGAGAAGACTGAGAGGCGATCTCATCAATGTGTACAAGTATCTGAAGGGAGGATGTCACGAGGATGGGGCCAGCCTCTCCTCCGTGGTGCCCAGCGATAGGACAAGAGGCAACGGGCACAAACTGAACCACAGGCAGTTCCATCTGAACCTGAGGAAAAACTTCTTTCCTGTGAGGGTGACAGAGCACTGGAGCAGGTTGCCCAGAGAGGTGGTGGAGTCTCCTTCGCTGGAGATATTCAAAACCCGTCTGGACATGATCCTGGGCAATATGCTCTAGATGTTGGAGTAGATGATCTCCAGAGGTCCCTTCCAACCTGAACGATTCTGTGATTCTGTGATGTCACACAGGAAAGCAGGACTAGGACACAGCTCATTTGCCCCTTAGGCTGTGGCTCCACAGCAGCATAAGCCAATGTTGGTTAAGGGTGCTGCAGTCTCGCCCAGCCCAGCCCTCACCTGTGGCCTCTCTCCTTGCGCTGCCATCAGTCAGGTGGGAGCTTATCCTACCAAAAGCCCAAAGCTAACCTGGGACAAGGAAAGGGGCAGACGCACACAGTTGCTATTGAGAAGGGCTTCTGCCGCTGTGGAGTGGTCCTGCCTGCTCAGAGACACAGTAACAAAGTGGTAACATCTCTTCTGACGAAAAGATAAGACAAAATCATCTTTTGGACCAAATCTGCCTCCCCGGCCAACAGCTAGACATCCACTCTAAACAAACAACTTTCTCCCTAAAATGTAAAACAAGCTACACTACCTGGCTTCTGTATTTTGTAATGTTTTTTCTTCTAAGGCAGATAGTTCTTAGATTTATTGTAATCTTCTTCTGAAAGAAAACAAGACAAAAGGATTTTGGTTCTCTTAAAATACAGTCACTGCTTGCTTAAGTTTCAAGGAGGCTGATTTTACAGTCGCAATGAAAGTCACCTTTATGGCTCCTACACATGAATGAAAATTAAGATCCCTGTGCCTTGTTATCACTGAAGTGACTGTTGTTTGGATCCTACAAGGGAAAGGGAGGGGCAAATGCGGGCTACTCACTCCCACTCTTCCACAACTTATGGCTTTTTTTTTTTTTTAATATAAGGAACATTTAAACCAAAATGCAGCTATCTTCTGCTGTTGTTGTCTAGACATCTGATGGGAATCTATATGTTGACTAACAACTACCTGTAAGTACATTATGGCAGAGATGCTAATATAGATTATTACCTGTTTTAGTTTACTTTTCTCAGTACAGTCTATAAAAAGGTGCCATGGTTCATCAGTTTATAAATAAATATTGTTTATTAATGCATAATTTATACTGGGTGGGTGTTTGCTGTGTTTCTTAAAGCCACCGTTGGGAGTTTGTGTTGTGCAGGTTCTTTGTGAACAAGTTTCCAGCAAATGACCTGTGAAGTCTGGCCAAAGTTTTTCTGTCCCTAGATGTGCCATAAGCATCAAAACAGGTTCAAAATATCTTCTAGTGGTCAGATGGTAATGAAGTATCTAGCATTTTATTTGGTAGATAAACAAATATTACTGGTGCAGTAATTTCACACAAGACCACACGATATATAACAATGTTCCTTTATAAACTAGTTTTACTTAGTACTTTATCTAAATGCTATGCTAGATTTTTTTTTTTAACACTCTCCAGAGAGGTATTGAAAAGAGTAATAATCTCTCACAGTGTCCTCAGAATACCTACAGAAATCAGGTGAAACTTACAGTAACTCTTGTGTCCTTCTAGACACTTAAATCAAACCAGGCTCCCAATTCCCTCTCCCAAGATAGCATGAAAGAGTCTTTCTGTGAAGTGTATTAGTAGTAATGGCTGTATCAACCTCCCTTGGAGTGTCTGGAGCCAAATACATTAGAATGAAACAACTTCAAATGATAAAATGTCTCTTGGAGATTGTTTGTGTATGTCATATTAATAGCAGAGCTCCGAACCTGGAAATGTGAGAAGAGAGGGAAGTGGGTTTATTTTCACTTGAATTGTAATAACTGCCCAAGAAAAGAAGGAATGCCTCAGTGAAGAAATTAGTAACAGAGACGTACTTACTATTAAATCTGATTACAAAGACAACAGACAAATTTTTCAAACTATCTTTCCAGTATTTGTTAATTACGACATAAAAAAGTGCCATTGTAATGGTCCAAAGATTAAGACAGAAAATGCAGCACAGTTTCTAAAAGAGATTATGTGACATGAGTGGCAGCACTCACTAGTTTTAGACTCAGTGACCCCAAACCTTCCTCTAGTCTGTGTTTATAAAACATGAGAGAAGTGGGAGACCTCCAAAACTGGCTGTTCTACTGGATGTTGCTTTGATTAGAGAACATAAGGAGTCTTTTTAATAATGCCTAGTAGAGATGGACAGGAAAAAGAGCATACGGGGAGCAGCATTTCTTGAAAGGAGGGTGAGGAGCATCTGGGTCATGAAGAAGAAAAGTATCTGATTTCCCTTGCAAGATCAGCCTGCACCGGCTGAGTGTGGAGGAGAGGCTCTGTGGAGCAGCCGCCCTCACTTGGGAGGAGGGGCGGATGGCAAAGCTGCTTATTTCCACCCCCGTCCTGCTCCCTCCCTTATGCCAGCCAAAGTGCTTGTGCAGCCACCCAAGAAACCAGACAGAAGAATTAGGTCCAGCTGGAAAAAAAATTGCCAGGCTATTTTTCTGGCTGGGATCAGTTCCCTGACCTGGTTCTGCACATAACTGCACAAACACGCTGGCAGTAGGGAGGGTGCAAGGCGGGAAACGGAAAGAACATCTGGGAGTAGAGAAGGGTGGGGACAAGCTGGTTCAAGCAGCATTGCTGCTGAATGCGTAACCACAGCGTTGCAGTGCTGGTGCCACCAGTGGGGCTGGCCTCTGCAAAGGGGGCATGGGAAGGAAGAGCTGAAATCCTCAGGCCTCGGCACGGGTCAGTAGAGACTGCTGGTAGCTGAAAGTAGGCCATGCTATTCAAAGACCAGTAGAAGAATTGCTCTTCCCCACCGCTCTAAGGTATATTGTGGTGCCCTAGAGGGAACCATAACCAGGACCACAAGGGTTTCTGTAGAATACTACACTTTTAACAGGGCAAATGACAGGGCAACTTCACTTCTTAACGTTTCCCATGACTTGATTTTTGTGTTACAATAGATGTCTGGTTTTTGTTTTGTTTTGTTTTGTTCGGAGACTCCCCTCTCTAATTCTGGGCCATCAGTTTACTATACCCAGAAGGAAAAAGTGCTACTGATGCATTATAGGTGCATTCATCTTATTTTCTGAGAGGACATTAAAAGAGCTCAATTTGTTTAGCCTTACAAAATGAAACTCGAGAGGAATACTGCTGCCATCTGTGAATACACTAAGCAGGATCACCAGAGAGACAGAAGCATTAGCACAAGAACTAATTAATAAATTGGCCGAGAAAAAATTTGAGGTTAGAAATAAGAAGGTTCTTGGCTGCCTAAGTACTGACGTTCCAGAGGAGCCAGTCAGTGAGAGTAGAAAGGACAAGGGATCGAACCAGACTTACGATGGAGTTTGCTCAGATTATGGAAAGGATTATCTGAAATGGCTGCCTGTGACAGCCATAGACTGAACCTGCTAACCCAGTAAGTGCTTTCTTGTCCCAAGTCCCACTTTCTGTATTCCACTGGTGGTTTTCCTTGCAGATCGCAGCTCAGTAATATTGCAGTACCTGCCACT